ACGGTTGCCCTGCTCCCCTCCGCCCTCTTTCACCTTCTCATTGGCCCTCTTCCTCTTCCACTCCGCTTTTTCATCCGCCCTTTTCCTACATCACCTTTCTCTACAATTCCTGCTCTACTCCTTCCCTCCGTGGTCAAAAAATTATACGCTATACTTTCACTCCATCTAAGTCAGTAGATCTCACGGCTAGAGCGACATGCAATAACGTAGGCAACCCAGGCCAATCGGGCCGTTCTCTCTTAAACCAAACAACCCTACTTAGGTAGTGCATTGCTTACTCCTGCAATACGGGGAGGTCGCAACTGTTGCCCTAAATAAGTGTTGGGTTCATGATATTTGCGTGAGAACCGCGGCTTACAGACTAAAATACCTTCACTTACAAACAAGAAACGACAGTTCCTCTCTCACTTCTCTAACTCCACGCCGTTCCACCTCACGGGCTGCTAGGACGAAATCCCTCAAGTTTGCATCCTTGAACGTTCGTTGCTTTTTAGATAATTTTAGGAAAGGAGGACAGTGCTTGTCGTTTGAGAGTATGTACTCTACAAGGTGTACATCACTGCACTCAGTCAGACATGGATCTCCGAACAAGGTCACCTTCAGCGGGTGGGTGACGTCAACGCATTCTTCTGAACAGAACAGAGCAACGAAAATCAGGCGTCGTATTTGCCATTCGGAACGACATCATGGAACGACTGCCCTGTCTGCTGCACAGCATAACCGATTGGATGATTCGCCTTCGACTGCTTCTTAAAGAATCTAACTTTTCCACAATCATTAGCGTCAACGCCCCAACAATGACCGGCTCTGACGAAACTAGGAGCAAATGCTACGAAGAACCGCCCGCCCTCCTGGCATCTGCCGCCGTCACCAACTTGCCTGCAGATGAGTGCTGATCCCTCATGAAACTCCCGGATACAGTGACAATGGCCTCCTCCTCCTTCTCCTCCTCCTCCTAAGAACCTACAGTGAACACTGCCCAGACCTAACCAACATCTTCTTCCGCCTGCCATTCGGAAGCAGGCAACCTGGATGCACACGTGATCGTGGCGCTGACAGGTGCTAAACTATGTTCACCTCCGCCGGTGAGATCCGCAGAACGTAATGGTGACCAAGGAATTCTGCGACGATGATGGCCGGGCGGACCACCGCCTCGTCATTTTCAAAATGAAGATTTCTCGGCAATTACACCGCAGGCCGCAAGTTAAACGACCGCCAAGTAAGCTGAATACTGCCTTGATGAGAGGAAGAAGCGATCGCTGGAACAAGGGCTTTATTCGCCAGACGTTTCGGGTTCTCACTTGAAACCATCACCAGAGACAGTAGCAGAAAAGGGGGTGTCTCGTGCACAGGAAGTTTCAGTATTTATAGGATGCAGTCGCTATGCTAACGCATACCTATAGCAATTAACCTCGCTCCCCTTCATCAAGGACATTTGCCAGCTGGTGAGCTAGCTTCTCGATGGCCGGCATGCACGTTGTTAATTGCCGAAATCTCCTCAACCGTGTTGGATTCTGGCGTGATGATTGCTCGACCATCTGGCACGCTGGTTTTCGCGCTCCCCGAGTGGTCAGTTGCTTTGGCCAGCCTATGCCTCAGCACGGAGTATGGAGTGGGCATGTCGTTGCCCTTGTTGATAGACTGAGGTCCCGTGAACCAAGCAACTCAAGCAATTCTCGGCCCACGCGATAATCCCCACGTCCGAGAATCTCATTCTCATCGAACTTGAATGTGTAGCCGGGAACCGTCGAATAGGCTGCGACCTGAAATTTGGCGTTCTTTCTCTGTGCTGCTGCCATCGAAAATCAATAGGATAAATGCATGCTATATAGGTAGTCAAACTGACGACCAGGAATGTCTACTCTAACAATATTTATCTTAGTTGCCTTTGCGAGATACTGAATTCGTCATGACAAGGCAACATCCCTGACATAAAAGACTTAGAATGCTCGAGAATTCACGTCATGTTAGGCGATTGCAAATACATTGGAACGTTCTCCGCTGAGGATCGACGGCACACGTCTATCAGCGCAAGTTCTATATGGTGGTGTAATCACGGGTAATCGTCGACAAGGCGAACAAAAATGGCATCAAAAGGACACCTTGAAGGACTCACTTAGAGCCGGGCAACCTGGAAATAACTAGTGCGAAACATACTGGCATAGTGGAAAAATTGAAGACCGGTGCACCTATGTAAAAAGGAAATGGGATGGCCAAATGCAAGCCCAAAAGGGGCCCCACTGCCAACCGTCATCCTCGCCCAACACGTCCACGGTGTCAACCAACTTTGTACACACCAGTCTCGTAGAACACGCTTAGCCCCAATGCGTCATCAAACGGACATTGGGTACTCCGTCTGCTCCCGTCCATGTCGCAAACCCTTCGAATACGGCCACCTGCGCCACCGCTAACCACATGGTTGCGCCCAGACGCCAGAAATCACCGACATCATCCACACTGCCCTTACCTTTGCGTAGACCACACGACCAGCTGCAGAAACACCACGACATCGCGCACCCTCCCCCAACGATGAGACGACATCCGACGTCCCATCATCTGCTGCCGTCACCACAGTTACCCCCACTCCCAACCATGCGGACTCAGCTCATATCAGTCGTCATTGCGATGGCAGCTTTACCTCACAGATCGGCCGAATTGGTCAATTGTTAATCCATCGCACACCGATTAGTTAACCAGTGCTCAGGGCGCAACCTATACTCGCTGCACTCACTACCCCTGCGCCTCCAGACAGCGCATAGGCCCATTTGGTCGCATGCGCATTCATGAAGACTGTCAGCTGCACCAAATCATCACGCCTTTCCAAACCAGCACTAGCTCCACACAACAGCGAGCACTAGGTTTTTATCTTTTCACGCATCTGGAAAGTGCGTTTCTTAATTTCTTCATGTGTCTCTTCTGATACAGGTGTGGTCCGAATCTAAGACAGTCACGGTACACCATGCGCGTTGGCTTGGAAGGCTGTCGACGGACGTCTCAAATCAGACTCTGCAGTTTTCCAAGTTGTGTGTTTGCGGGGAGTGGCCAACGATCATCTGAGTGGCCGACGACCACAGTGTGACTTCTGGCACTATTACGCGTGTGGAAATGATAATGTGAAGGCTTGCGGGTAATGCCTCTAAGACTACGACTGGCGGTTTACCCTGTCATTAAAAGGTGACGGTGCAGATTGGGTGCAGTGCTGCGTGTCATCCTTCCGGGCCTTAAGGACTGTGAGCGTCTGCTACGCCATGATTAGCAAACCAACGCCCTCGCAGTCTAAAATGCGTTGGCGGTTCTTTGACGCCTGTTTACTCGCCGGCGCATGCGTTCACAATTCCGCTGGCTGAACAGGTTGTGCGCAGAGGTACCCAGTCATCCTCGTCGTCTTTCTGAATCGTCGTGGTTCTACCGCTGGTTAAAATCCTCGTCGACTGACTGTTGTGGACAAGCGGATGTTGTGGTAGGTCAATGTTGGGGTACGGCCGTGAAGGCCAACTGGCCCATCGGCCACCTATGGTCCCTTCGACTATGTCCTGACATCGGGTTTCGGTGGAGGGGAGTGTGAAAATTTTGGCGAGCGCTTCCGTACGTCACGAACGTTTTGTTGGCTATCGGCCGCCTTTTTGCACCACTTGGGGTTGAAGTTGCATACACAGAGGAAGCAACCATCACGCGTCAGGTAATGCAACCAAACGACCCGCTGCCACGGCAAGAAACGTCTGGAGTCGTTAATCGGTTCTTTTGCAGTTGCGGACAAAGCAGCTGCGTCGGAAACACCGGAAGATAGCTCCAAACGAGAATGGCCGAGCACACTGCAGCGATGGGGATAATTGACGCCAGTTCTCAAGTTGTGGCTCATTCGAAGGAATTTGGCCACATATTCAAATTCACAAGGCCGAAATTCTCGCAAGAGGTGGCAACCGCGTTAGCCGCGATCTGCTTGAGTCATTGTTCACAGGCCCTCAGTTCGTTAACAAGTGCAACGAATTACTCCTCCAATACTCGTTGCTGACACTTTGCCTGCGTGAAATAATTAGTCACTCGGAAAGCGCAAAGTTGAACAATTTTCCCAACACATGTGTCAATGGGTCAAATGGTCAAGCAATCATCACACCAACACGCAACGTACGTGATGAGATTGCAGCCAATACCGACGCAAATTTCGGCCATCAAGCAGTCATCACACCACAAACAACGATCCCTGATGAGGGGGGGATGCCGTGAATACTCATAGGTGTGCGGTAGCATGGCGACTGCATCCTATAAATATTGCATCCCCATATGCATGAACCACCTGTATCTGCTTTTGTCTGTGATGATAAGTTCGAGCGGGAATCCCAAACGTCAGTCTAATAAACCTCTTATCGCAGCGATCGTGTCTCCTTCTTCAAGACTCCTTCCTGAGACTCATCTCTTCGTTTCTACTGGCAGTGCAGAAGCTTCTTCGCAAGTGTACTCGCATTTTTAAGTTACTCACGCACCAATCACCGTCCTCAATTAACCTTGTTGGTCAGCACACGATAGACATCATTGTTTTCGACGGACGAAATGTCAGCGTGATCTGGTTTTAGGTAAACTGTAAAACATTTTATAAGTCACTGGAGGCACATGAACAGGTCTATGCGGAATCCCATGGTTACATGGCAAATAAAGCTCTCGTTTAACGGTTTTAATGCCCACACTGTGGAATGCGCATCGATGCGTTTAAATCCCGCATTACAAAATACCCTTAATTTTAACTCATTACATCCAGCCTTTTTTATCGTTCAGGATGAATTGCGGATTTTATTTATTGGGTAATAAATCGCCACGCATATATGTCCGCCCTTATGATTTACCGGGCGTTTAAAAACTTTAAAAGAATTTTGAACATGCAAAGAAACATAATATTTTAAAATAACATGGGGATTGACGTCCGGAAAACTGCGTCGTTGTCAATGATACGGACAAAAGATAATTATCTTATGCATGAGGGTGTATTGACAGATGACAGAGACGATTGTGATATCCACTCTTGGCATACTAAATGCCGTCACGTGACCCTTCGAAAAATTCCTTTTCTCTCCCAAACTGCGTCATTGGCTACAGGCCTACCAGATAATAATTCACTAAATTTGGTACTCCGCTTAACAGTGTTAGGCATCAATTAGTAAATCTAGGCTTCTTCACCTACCGCAGTTACACGACCAATTCATATTCTTGCCACTTGATGTTAGGAACTCCCTAACACAATCGGCTCGTTGTTTATTGCAGTTGCAAAGGTTCAGTTCACAACAGTGGCGTAAAATGTTAACAGATTTATGGGACTTCTGGAGTTCGCTTTATGGAGTGTATGAATAACCCAGGAAGATGCAATTCAATGCAGTTCTTAAGCTTTTTGTTTTGCCAAAGTGATAGAGCGGCGTGTGCAAAGATTTATCCCATGTCATCATGCGTCATTCCTTCTAAAAATGTCTACTGACAGGCATCTTGCCGATAATGCTGCGTTTGGTGGTTTTGAGGGTTTTTGTCGCAAAGTTTATAGTTTACTAATACGTCTTTTATCTGCGCAAACTGCTTACGGACACATTTGGACACAATCTTGAAAATTTTATGAATAATTCAGAAGGCCCTACGGAGGAAGCCTGACGCTGATTTTACTCGGGGAGGAATAACAAGAGCCGCCAGACCGACCGCCCGACAGAGGTTCACTCAGCTCCCCTCGACGGAGCGGTGACTCACAAAGCACACAGGTAAGACGCCCGTCCACCATCTCCCGAGAGGTTGAGGCAGCGAGAGAAGAGAAAAATCGATCAGCATAAGGCTGACCAACACAAGATGCAATTTGAAATTAAATTTCTGATCAACTAAGTGCATTTTTCGCTTTGACATTGAAGAGCCCACCCAGCTCTTTACG